TTTCCATTCTTGCGAATTATTTTAAAAAATCTGAGTTATCAAAATAAGATTTACTATTTGTGATTTGGGAGAATCCGTTTTGAAGTTTTAATTTAATTCATAATAATATCATAAAAAGCACGCACAACTTTTAAATCTTGGCCACAAATCCATTTGCTCTTCCAATAAGCAATTCACAAACTAGGATTTTTGTATGAATTGCACAGTTCTTTCTTGAAATGATTTGTTACTGCATATATAATGTCAGTCTCATTTACGCGGTAGAAAAATAATTAATTCATTTTTTTATCAGGCTCTTTTCTAGCAGATAATCTGAAATGTGTGCGTGGTAGTTGCTGTCCAGTACCAAAAATTGCTCCATAACTTGATAAAAAATGCAGGTAAAGTTTTGAAATTTTGCAGGCATATTTATAAAGATTCGAGGCATCAAACAAAAAAAATTTTAAAATAAAAAAATAATAAAAATTTCGACAGGTTGATGATTTTAGGGTACGATAACGCCTTAAAAACAATCAAATAATTTCTTTATCAAGCTTTCCTAGATCCCACAGTTGAATTTCTGAGAGATCTGCCAGCTTCCAACCAAGCTTCCCCACACAAGACCATGCTGTGCCACCATTATTTGCACTTCCCCATCCTCAAAAGACTTCGAAACTTCTGATATTCTACGGGAAATAAATTTTACTAGTTTTAAAAACTTTTGTATGCCAAGGTTTCATCTAAAAAATGTTCTTTTATTAATTGTTGATTGTTATGCAAGATTTAAACTTCATTAAATTTCCGCTCATCTTTTCTGCTTTTCAGTGGGTCACATTTAGTGTGTGGTAATTTATTTAAAACTAATATATTTACTTTTCAATATTTTTATCATTCATTTTAAGCGAGATTTATTTGTTTATTTATTTTACATTTTTTTATTATGAAACTATTTGCTTATAGAATGGATGAATTAGTTCATGCTTCTTTGTACAAATGGCGACAATATTCATGTCATGGAGTCTTCACTTCGTTTGTTATCTTTTTGGATCAGCCAGGGCCGCTTTTAAACTTCCCGGTGGTCTAGGCACTTCAAATTATTACGCCCCCCACACTGGCGTAGCTCTTACTGAGTGGGCCCTCTGCCAAAATTTCTTGGATGCCCTTTTTGTTGGGCTCTCAACATTTTACGATTTATTCTTGCACGCTTGGGGGCCCCGTATCGTTGATACTAAGGTAGCTAAACCCCTGCCCCTCCCGGTACTATTTTCAGAGCATCCCCTTCTTTACCTTTCCAGTTTTAGTTCGGGAGAGATTTTCCCTCAATTCTCTTAATCTTTTCCCATTCTTTATTTTTGTTCTTTGGACAGTCTTTCCATTATCCACACATATGGACCCGCCGTGTCCTGGAATGGCAACCGGGGAACGTAAGGAGAGATTAGTGGTATGGTTTGGCGACTCTCTCTTGTTCATTTCTTACCTTACGGCCTCATAGACCAACCCCAACCTTTTGTAAATTAGTACAGTAAATTAATGAAATCGTTTGCAATTGCAGTATAGAGCAGCGGTTCTTAAACTGGGATCCGCGGGTCCCTGGTTGTCCCCAGTGCCTTTCTAGGGAGTCCGTAGAAGGCCTCATGGAAAAATAGAAAAATCCTATCCTAGACTAAATCACTAAATTGTCCCCAATAAAAAAAACTTTGCAAGAACATGTAATAAGATCAAGAATACTAAGTCGGCAGGAGTGTTCAAAATCTTGGGGGTCTGCGATGACAGGCTGATACATAAATAGGGGCCACGGCGAGTGAAAGTTTAAGAACTGCTGGTATAGAATAGTTGTATGAACTGTTTTCAACTTATAATCACTTATCGCTTTACTATCTTTTACTTTTAGACATCCTTATTCTCTGCTGAGTCACTGTCACTTGTACTTGTTCAAATGACAAAGGCTTTCTTCGAGCTTTGATAATTGCAAAATCATTAACGACATAGTTATAAATTTCCATTATAATATCGTTTTGACTGCATAGCAATTTCAAAGTGTTGAGCTTTTCTTTTTACATAGTAGATCCCATTTCAATCTTTACTCACATGAGGGCAGAAAGGCTTCTCTCTCGACTCGTTAGGCGGGGATAGGTTCACTGTAATTTTGATTTTTGTTTCTTTTTTCGCCCTCCAATTTTTTGAAACCCTAAATCTTTTGCGCCTTAGACACTTGCCTAGCGTGCCTAAGCGGAAAAGCGGCCCTTGGACCGGCAGTGCACAAACGATTTTAATTCCCCTTTTTATAATCTGCAATCATGAGCCTTACGGTATTTACATTTAATTTTTGCTTCAGTTTTAATCATCTCTCATTACCCTGTTCTGTCTGAGCAAACAGAGCTGAGTTCGGAAATCTACGACGCGCGCGCGCGTTGTTAGCAACACTTCGTAGTTATCTCATAGCTCCTTTTCTGGGGTGGTCTGCGTCTAAGGAGACCAATCACAATAAGGCGAAACTTTTCATTTCATCCTATTCCCCACAGGAAACTCTACGACATTTTCGTTATCTTTAATTAATTTTCATGGAAACTTTATTTTTATAAAAAACTTTAATTATTTTATATTTAAATTATAATGAGATGAGGATACCAGGAGCCGCAAATAATTTTATACCAGGAACCACAAAATACTGTACCGAGGGCCTTATAATTTCTTGAAAAAAGGGGAAATCCCAGTTTTCTGCTTAATTCAGTACTGAGTTAAAAGTAAAAGTAATTGATATGCGAAAAGACTGGATGGAAAATGAATTTAATGGGACGTTAAGAAATAAATTATAAGGTGATGTGGATTCACCTTATAATTTATTTTGATATTAGGATTAATTCTTTTACAATCCTTAATGTTACATTAGTAAAATTTTTGCTATAAAAATTCTTTGATAAAATAAAAATTATTGAAAGTGAACAGTATTTTATCTTTAAAACAATCTTTTTTTTTAAAAAAAAAAATATGATTAAAAATACATTAATACCCCGAACTTACGCGGTAGGTGGGACTTAGTGATAACCGCGTAAGTAGGGATATAATTTCTCATATAAATACATATAAATTATTTTTAGTTGGGGAGGAGACAAAAGAAAATAATAATTTAGAAGAAAAAATGTTTAGTAAATAAATTATTTGATAAACACAAATACAAAATTGCTAACCGAAGTTATTTCGATGTAAAAAATCTAGCAAAGTAGTGTGCCGCCTCAAAGATATCCCCCCCCCCTCAACATTTTCTCGTAGCATGCTAATACCTTTTTAATTCTTTGTTTTTTTGGAAAAAAATATGCTTTCAGTAGGTGTCTGTATTTTCTAAAATTTGCAACCCTTTTTCAATTAAACTGGAGCCTTCTATCAAGTTCCCAACACCGTCATTCGATCTTCTGATGAACTAGGTCTAAAGATGCAAGTTCTCCAATGCATTGCTCTTGCTCAAGCATTTCTATAAGCTCATCAATTGCCAGCTCATGATTATGAGAATTCAATAGTTCTTGAGCGTCATCTCTATCCACTTCTAAATTTCTTTGCCTGTCAAGATTGACAACTTCTTCAATCACATTACCAATTTCACCAGGTTCTGGTAATGATTTCAACTGAGTTTCAGTAATGAAAAAAAAAAAAAAAAAGATACATCAACTAGATTTGAAAATCGCGTAATTCTGGGTTCGCATAAGTCAGGATGAGCGTATAAATCAAGGTATAACTATATTAAACGTATTCCATGGTGCAACTAATAAATGGTAATTGTAAGTGCACAAAAATTTCAAATTAGTACACCTTTTAGATATACACGTCAAAAGTATATATAAGAATGGTATATTAAAAGCATGGTACGATTTTGAAAAATAACCTATAGATTTACTAGTCTTCTGAATAGTACACATTTAAATTCTAGTTCCGAGTTAATATTTATAAGATTGCACTCATCTATCCACAATATTTTACTATAAAAGTAATATATTTTATTGTAAAGCTAAGTTTATGAATTAATTAGTTTCCTAAATTTAAATAATTTTTATCTTCTCTTTGCTTTACTCTCTCACTCTCTAGCCTTACAGAATATTTCTTAACATGAAATACATTATTAAGTAATATTTTATAATTCCCAGCTCATTTAAAAAAATACGTGTATCATAATTTTAAGGAACTTTTAATTTACAAGTAAGGAAATGATTAGCTGGAAAATTCTTACTTTCTTTGGAACGGGAGCAACGTGGATTGTTTTAGGTATGATACTTAAATTTGAAAAGTCCTCCTCTTTTGGGGGAACTTCTTCATGTTTTGCTACCTGGAAAAAAAGAGGATAATCAAAGATTATGTTTGGAAATATGGAAATAACTTCAGGAAGGCTATTTGAAACAGTAAAGAGACAGACAAAATTACTCATTTCTGATATAATATAAATTTTTCCTTGTCGAAAAGAATTTGCAAAATAAATATGCTTTTAAAACTCATATGAATTTTTTAACGTTTGGTTTTGCTTGAGTTATACTGCATTATTACAGAATAGGTACTCTTATATTGAAAACTACAATAGTTTTAACGATTGATTGAAACAATGTGTTTTTCTATTCTAAATGTTGCTTTAAGCACAATTTCTTTATGATATAAATTAGTTATTTATATCATAAAGAGAACATTCTTAACGGTGTGTAACTACTGACATGCATGAAAATTGTTAATTTAAACAAGTAATGTAAAAAAAAAAAAAGATTTTAAGTCAACTCCTACTTAGGTCAATAAAGAAACATTTTATTTTAGTTATTTTTTACTAAATAGCTACAATTAGAATAAATATGTGTATACATATGACAGAATCACAATATTAAGTGACAAAATAGAAAGCGATTTTCCTTGCAATTTTCCATTTTCCTTTCTATATATGGTGTTGCACTATTTTTTCGTTTGTTTCTATTTATATTCAATAGTTATAAATTTAATTATTCTTATAAAATAGTATAGTAAAAAATAAATCACATTCTCAGAAATTAGGCTATCCCATGCGGGATTTGAACACCCACGACCTTTGGAATTGAAGTCCAACGCGCTATTTATTGCGCTACAGGGACACAACGAACGATTTTCCTTTCTAGTTATACTGGTGGACTATAATTTTTGTTTGTTACTATTTATTTATTAATTAAATAGAATTAATATTTAAAAAACTGTATAACATCAAGTGTCATCCACTACAAGTTTTAAAAAATGTTTTTGAACTTGAATGGATGAATAGAAAGTACTTTATTAACAATTGAAAAATTGAATAAGATATATATATATATATATTATATATATATATATATATAAGGAGAGAATGTGTGAACTAATAGTAGGAATTGAAAACACCAAACAGGATTCTGAAACGTTGAAAGCAGATGCTTCCAAACACTATCTGATAAAATTTAAGTTTTTTATACTTGACTTAAATACATGTGATATTGTCAGATACACAAGAGCTCCGCTAACTCAGCAGAGGAATCCCACGCGGACGATCTGTCTTCATATCTTATTAAAGAAGCAAGGAGGGGAATTTCATATTCTGCCAACGTCAGAAAATTTCGAATTCCAGAATCAACTGTTGACCACATAGTAAAGAAATGGATGGATGATAAAGGTGTGTGGGATCTTCAAAGATTAGGAACCCCTCAAAAAAGGACTCAACGACAAAACGCGTTAATCTTAAGGAAATCCGTCGCTGACCCAAATAAGAAAGTTGTTCAAATGTATAAGGAGACAGTGACCATCTCCTTATATAGACTCCTTGTCACAGAGAATAAGGACACCATAAGACGTCACCTGGATGCCGCTAGATTGTATGTAACCCCAAAAGAAACCCTTTCATCCTGGCAAATAACAGGAAAGTCATAATGAAATTTATTTTCTAAGAAGCACGAAACGTGGACAACCAAAGATTGGAAGGAAGTTCTTTGGGACGATTAAAACAAAATCTAATTAATTCGAAAATGATGGCCGATGTTTATTCGTTCGCCAAAAGGCATCAGATGGATATCTGGTACCAACACCCAACAATGAATCACGAAAATGGATCAGTAAAGATCTGAGGAGCTTTCCCTCATGATTGTACCGTGCCCTCACATGCATCAAAAGGATTATGTATGAAAATGTTTATAAAGATATTTTAGTAAGACACATGCTGTGCCTTATGCCGCAAAAAGATGTCTCGTGGTTAGATGTTTCGGCAGGATATTGATCCTAAGCATGCCTTTAAAATAGTGGCAAATTAATTGATTCATGGCTAAGAAAATTAAAATTTTCGACCAGCCGAATCAGTCACCTGACTTCAATCCAATGAACAACTTCGTGAACACATTGGAAGAAATGTCGGGACACAGAAGCATTTTTCAAAGGCAAAGCTCTTTCAGAATCTTTAATCGGAATGGACAAAAATCCATAAGTCCAAATTAGTAAGATTTGTTATTAATTTAAGATTTGTCAGTCGGTGTGCATCACTACTCAAAGCAAAAGAATATGCAAACATTAAATATTTCTGTATTGCATTACATTAAGGCTCTTAGTTTCTATAAAAGTTAAGAAAAATTTAATCGTCTCAACACTTTGCATTTTTTCAAATTATTGTTTTGTTTTATGTATAAGTGTTAATTGTTTTATCGTTGCGTTTTGTAGAGCTTCAAAAAAGGTACAAATTATTAATTTACATCGTTAAGAATTTTGCCTACAGAAAAAGTTAGTACAGAAAAACTTCGTCTCAAAAAATTTGCCAACTACTATATATAATATACGGCTAATAAAAATTGAACTGTCACAATGCGTCTTTAAATCAGAAGTACAAAATATTTTATTTCAGACTTCTATTAACGACTTACATCCTCAACGACTGCTCAAATTGTATTTTTAAGCAATTATTCCTGATTGGAAGTGAAATACTATATTTGAGTATTTCCAGCTACATACACAGTGATTTTAAGCCACTCAAATTCAAATATACTTTAAAAATTAAATGAAAATTTACATTGCGTACTGAATTTTTTGGGGCCAGTGCATTAACTGCTATACACATAGAATTTAGGGCCGTGGGTAGCCTAGTGGTTAGAGCATCGGAATCCAGACCGGAAGGCCTGGGTTCGATGTCCGATGCCACCAAATACTCGCCGAGTACACACGGAGAACGTGCTCGTTAAGTCAGTGGGTCCGAAAGGTGTCACCATCTATCGTGTTGTGTACTTCGTGCTGTCACCTTCTTGGGGGCTCTAAGCTTAGGCTAACGACAGGCGTAGATCTAGCCCTTTGCTATGATTTCGTGGGCCTCGATCTGACTACGTCAGACAGGTGGCATTAGTAACAACAATACATAGAATTAACAGGGACAGATAGAGTACATTTGATAATAACCTCACGCTTTTATCTGAAACCTGTGAAGGTTCCTTACAATTCCCGAACAATTAATCTCGATAATACATTCCGTGGTTTAAATTTTAATGTTTAAACATGCACTTATTTTTAGAGTTTTACTGCTTTGATAATAAATGAGCTTCGCAATTCTCCTATTTATATATATATATATATATATATATATATATAAAGGGTTTATCTTTTTATGCAAGAACATTTTATAAATAAGTGGGGTTGTGTAGATGAGCGAGCTATATTTCCAATTACATTATAAATAGTCTGGAACTGCCATCGGATATGTAAAATAGGTAATAAAAATTTCCCAAGCATAAGAAATGCTCTTTGGGCGTGTTGCTTTTGAACACTTCAGCGTGAAAATATCATGGACGCGAGAAATGGAGGACGCAACCTCACCCCGTCATTTTGAATACAGTGAGAAGGAATGAGTTAACAAGGCATCAAACCCCACTTTTAAAATTCCTGGAACCCTTATTGATTCAAATTCGATTGCTCTTCACCTAATCAGGGTCTATATATTTTATAAATAGCCTCCTCGGTTCCCTTGTATCATATGTGATACAAAAGTTTCATATTTTTTTGTGAAGGCTGAACAACAAAAACAAATTTGGGAGCGGTTGCATCACATGAAATACAAAGTGAAGTACCTCATATAATTTCCTCCTTTAGTCAACACACGGCAGTACCTGTCCATGATAGCGATTTCTAGTAGCATGCTGTGATGCTCAAGATGTGTGCACGTCTTCGAAGTAAGTATTTTTTTTCTTATTTATGTACACATATTAAACTATTTTTAAAATATGCTTTTTCTTTGTATATGTACTTTTAACTAGTTAACAGCAAAAAAAGAAACTTTTTGTGAAATATTAAAGCTTAATGACTTGTGAAATTTGTTTGTATCATTTGTGATACAATGGGACCTAATCAGAACAAAATTGACTTAAAAAGTATGTTCATTTTAATCTTTAGTTATATTTGGGGGGGGGGGGCTGAAGATTGATAGAAGTATTTCTTGAGTTAAAATCTTTAGTTCAGGTGTTTGTTTTTCATTTTTACCCATTTTTTCCCTGATATCTTTTAATTTAATAAGTATTTTTTTCCTTAAATATTTGACACCAGATGAAATTTTAGAGCTGATGAATCGTGATGGTTCTGATTTGAATTCAATTTGAGGAATGAAAAGAGCTCGGCCTTAACAACTGTACAATGTTTGCAGACTGCAAAGTTTTTCTATGCTTTACAGCTACTAGAAGTAGTTTCAATGCATTTCACGAAAATAAAAATAACATTATTGTAACTTATCAAACTTAATTTTCATGTTGAATTTATGAATTGTATGTATTGTGTGATTAAAGACTAAGATTAAATTAATTACTTCAATCTTGCTTAATACTGAAAAAATTCTGATTGAAATGTCTTGTTCCTGATGCATCACATGTGATACATCCCCCCCCCCCAGCTTCTATAAATTAAAAAAAATATTGCACTTTTCTACATCAGAGTGATTAAAATAACTATTTAAGTACCTCTTACAAAATATCAAGCTTTTATTTTTGTCTCGGGTCTGAGGAGGATATAGACATAACACTTTCATTAATTTCTTTTACTTTCTATTCATATATTATCTCAATTTAGACATTCCATGTTAAAGAAAATAGATTTTTTATAATTTAATTGTGGATATACCTCTTTGTTTAAGAATCACTCCAACTTATTCAAAAATTTTAGTTGGTAATTTCGTCGAATATCATATCAAATAAGTTTCCTTCCTCAGAGTATAGGTTTTATAAAAATTCTTGTTTCAAAGAGTTGTTATTATATACCTTGTAAAAATATAGAAAATTAATAGCAAGAAACATATTTGGTGAACGCGCGCGCGTGTGTATGTGTGTTACACATAGCAAATATAATAAATTATTAAATGCAAATATTGTGCAAGCAGTTCTTCTAAGAAAAACTTAATATTTGTTGCTCTTTCAAATACGATTCGAGATTGCCTTGCAGAAAAATATTTCAAATCCGACCTATATTTCTAAATATATTATATATCTATGGATTTATATATACACTGTTTAAAATAAGTAAAGGATATTGAGGTTGTGAGTGAATCTTGCTGCTGGGGAATTATTTAGATAATTGATACAGGATTGACAGACGTGATAGGCTATATGAGAAAAAAAAGGGTACATGATTTAATTGAAAAAAGTACATTTTATTGAGTATTTGGGTTCAAAAGGGAGAAAACACTATTTGTGCTTATGAGAAAAAACGAACAAAAAAGGTATTTCCTTGAAAAAATCTTTTTTAGTAAAACGTATTGTATGGTATATTAATGAGGAGCTGGGGTATTCTGCTCCACTCCTACAGAAGAGCCCTTTCCAGATCTAAGAGAGTTTGTGGGGATGGTAGGCGGCCAGCAACTTGTCTGTCTAGAATGTCCCAAATATGCTCTATTAGACTTATGTCCGGAGAACACGCTGTTCATTCCGTTAGTATGATTTCATCCTGGAAAAGGAAATTATCCGCCAAATTAGCAATTGATGTGGTCTGCAATTGTTTTCTACTAACATGAAATCATTTCCTGTTGCTGCCGCTTAAGGGACTATTATAGGTGTGAAGTTCTCATCAATATATCGGCGACCGGTCAGAACTCCGTTTCCAATGATGTGGAGATCGGTGA